AAGCTTCCAGGCAGGAAGGAGCTCCCCAGCCCGCTCCCAACCCTCCGGGCTCCCCAGCTCGGCTTGGGCGGATGAGGGGAGGCGAGGGAGCCGCCCCGGACCCGGCCAGCTGCTGGCGGTGGTGGCGGTGCAAGCCTTAGCCCGCATGGCCTCTCCAAGGCGGGCTCCCTGCCGGAGCCCAGGTGGAGCGAGAGCGAGAGCCGGCGGGCGTACCTCGCTTGCTTCCTTGGCGGCGGTTCGCGGGGAGCTGCCTTCGCTTTCCTTCCCGCGGGAAGCTGCCTGCTTGCCTCGCCTCTCGGGCCGGATGTTAGAGGAGGCGCCGGGTTCCTCGCCTGCTCGGGAAGGCGAAGCCACCGTTGCCGCAAAAGGAAGGTGTGCCCGGGCTGGCTTTCCGCAGCAGCCCTCTTCAGCTGCCAGCCGTCCACATCATCCAGCCACTCCCACCCGGGGCGGAGGGGCGGCGGCGGCGGCGGCGGGGGACACCGGCCGGGACCTCTGGATTCCCGTCGGTTCGCCACATCCGAGCTGCCCTGTGAAGCAGAGCCGGGCTGCTAGGAGCCGGGAGCCTCTGCCTTGCGGGACCTCTGCTCCAGTTTACCACCGGGAAGCGCCCATTTTCCCAGCAGAAGGATGAATTCACAGGAGGGAAATGGTTTGAAGCCTGGGAAGGAGCCCCATGAAACTCAAGTGGGACTTGCTTCTGACTGGGTGGGTGCACAGGGGCGAGCCTCCCGCGCTGCAGAGAATCACAGGGGAAAGCTCTCTCTGTAGGTAAGAGAAGCTTGAAAAGTACAGTATGCAGTAATACAATGGCCCTCTTCAGATATTCCAGTGGCTGCCGCAGGGCAGAAACCGGTTTTCTGTATCTCCCAGAAGGCAGGTTCCCAAAGTCACAGGTTCAAGATTCAAAGAAGGAAGATTTTGCTGAAACATTAGCAAGGACTCTCTTGACAGCAAGAGTGGTTCAACAGAATGGACAGTCTCAGAGGGTGGTGGACCCTCCTCTGGAGGTTCTGAAACAGCCCCCCTCTGAGGGATGCTTTAGCTGTTAAGTGGGAGCTGCACTCTGGAGATACCTTCCGACTCTACACTTCTATACACCTTGGGCACATTTGCCTTGATTCTTTGCTGGTTTTCCCTTTTCCTTCTCTGTCTTCTTCCATTCAATACACTTTCTTCTTCTGTTAGGGACAGTCGTATTCAAGTTACTAGGCCAGCGGGAAGAGCAAATACCTCAGGGATAGGAAGGAACTCGACTTTATTTATTTTTAACTTACTGAACTTCTCTTGAATATGGAACAGGGTTCAGTTTTCCCCTGTGAACTGTTGGTGCCCACTGTAAGGAAGCACTAGCTAAGAACGGGGTGGGGGGATGTTCTCTCTCTTTTTGGCTTCAGCAAGCAAGACAATTTGCCAAGAGAAACAGGATTGAGATGCTCTTAGCCTCACTTGCTCTCCTGGCTCTTGCTCTTTACTTTGCATTTTGCTGGAGGCAGGCTGGCTCACTGAGAAAATAATATGCTCAAAATAAAAGCAGATCTGGTGGGTTGTAAGGAAAATATTCAAAAAGCAAAAAAAAAAAAATCTGAACATCCAGTTTAATTGAGAGTTCTGTTTGCTCTTTGCTGACTGATGGGGTTGAGCTAAATAAAGCCCTTGCCTTCTGATGGTTACTGGCGCTTTCCCAATGGAATGGGCCACCAGGGAGCCTTGCTTTGCCTTGCCTTGCAGTGCCTTACTTTGCTATGGGATAAAGGTTTGAGGGTTGTTGGTTGGTGTTTTTTTTACCCTTCTTCTATCTAAAATGCATTATGGCTATCTAAAATGATCTCATGAACCTTCAAAGTCGACTAGTCATCAAATTATTTTCTGCTCCTCTGTTGCAAATGGGCCACTTTAGCTGTTGCTGGGGTCTGAAGGTTGACCCTAAGCTAGTCCCAGTGTAGCCCAAACCTGCTCTGGGACCTGAAAGACAAAGGAAAGGCTAACTTAGCTTCTTCATTAGCCTTTTAACAGTGTGAAATCAGCAGCTGGGTTTCTTTGTCTCCTAAAGATGGATATCGCTACTTACTAATGAGCCAGAAGTTGGGCGTTTGATTACCCATTCTGCTTCTCAGGAAAAGAATCTACCTACGTAGATTTGGGCAAACGGTGCAGTTCCAGAGTGTCACCAGAAAGAAGGAATAGCACTATAAAAATCTGTTCCAATCTTCTGAAAGAAGAGGATACAATTAAAAGCACTTTTGCGGATGGGGGAACCACAATAGATAATTAGGACTGAAATGGGCTGATGAATCTCTCTCATAGTGAAAACCTAAGCAACTTTTAGTCTGCACACTTCCAGGAGTAGCGGTTCCTGGATGAAGACATGGGATACAGCACCATCTAGTGATACTTAAAACTGACAGCATCGTACGTGGAAAATAAAAGGAAATCAGGACATTTGTCAAATATCTGCAAAAATGCTGCAGTGAAGATCAGCATGCTTGATTTGCACTCCTCTGTTCATTGCCAGTCCTGCCTTCTTCCATCGTGCCTTTAACAGGTTATGCTGTTATTCTAGAATGAAGACATTCAGTGAAAAGCACGGGGTGGATTATTGTTTTCACTGTGTCAAAAGTTAATTGCTAGCATATTAGTTTCTAATTCTGTGTACTGTATTCTCAAAGCCATAGTTTTCCAGGAAAGAGCCATATGTGTTTCTGCAAGCATAGCAGACAAAAGCAGAAAATAAATGAAATCAGTCTGAATAATTTTATTTGTCAGTCTGTTTACAAAGTAATACTAGCATTATCTGGAGGTTGAGACACGGCAACTGGACGTCTTTCTTGTTAAGTTGAAATATTTCACTACTCATCCAAGTAGCTTCTTCAGTCTGAGGAGAGTTGGTAGGAGATTCATGATATATTCCCACCCACCCCCATCCCATTGGTTTCACTTCCACCTGGTCTGAAACCCACACCCCCACACCCCATTGGTTTCACTTCCACCTGGTCTGAATAGGCTCCTTAGATGGACAGAAGACTGGAAGTGAGGGATAACCCCACTTCTACATTTCTTATTCACTCATTGTCATGGGTCATTAACGGTAGTTAACTACCCCACTTCTGCAGTTCTTCTTCACTCATTGTCATGGTGAAGTTGTCTTTCTGGTGTGTGTGGTCCTAATTTTTCTGGGGACAGATGAAAGGGGAGTATGATGAATAGGTGACATATTGTATCTAAGGCCTCCACTCCTGTTGAGTGAGGGATTTTCTATATGCACATGTATGGCCTCCCTGACCCCTCTCTCAAACCACCTATCTTCTCCGTCCAAAATGAGTATATCTTGGTCATCAAATGAGTGTCCTTTGTCCTTCAAATGAAGGAACACGGCTGATTGAGGTCCTCAGCTGGGCCATTCTCCTGTTTAGTGGCCTTTTGGTTTCTCCAGTGTAGAGCTCCGAACACTCCTCTTTGCATTGGACCACATACACTACTGTATATTGTTCCTGTTGTGTTTTGGGATCTGGTCTTTTGGGTGGACGAGTCTCTGCCTTGATGTGTTTGAAGTGCCATGGCCAGGTTCTTCTGTGGGCTCTGAGTCTCAAACTGTTCCATTGTCCTCCTGGGTTGGGACATTGCCTTGTTCAAAGCCCATTTTGGATATGCACAGGCCTTAAGGGCTGTCTTCAGATGGCCATCTTCCTTCTTCTTGGCTTCTGTGGAGGTGGGGATATTTCTTGCCCTGTGGTTTAGTGTCCTGATGACCCCTAGTTTGTGTTGCAATGGGTGATGAGAGTCAATCCACAGGTATTGATCAGTGTGTGTTTTCTGTAGACTCCATTCTGCTCCCAAAATACAAAGCTTGAGTTGTTCTTTTAAAATGGCAAGAGTTTTTTTTTTTGGGGGGGTGTTAGAGCTTTTTGTTTGAGTGCTGACTAAACACTTCCAGCCAGAAGTCTTTCACTCTACAGATGGGGAAAGCCACTGTGCTAAACTCTCTCTTCCAGAAGAAACCAATACTAGCACAGTGGTTAAAACTGCAGCACTGCAGTAGAGATTCTGCTCATGACTGAGTTCAATCCTGCGCTCAGAATGCCTTCTGAGGCTGGCAAATGAAAATGACCACCCCCTGGAGGGATGGGGGGGGGCAATGTGTGGCCTGAATACTTAAATCGTAAACCACCCAGAGAGTGCTTTGAGCACTACGAGACAGTAAATAAGCAAAACACTTTTACTAAAAAGTATGTCACGATTTCATCAGGGATGAAAAGGTACAGAAAATCACAGGAAAAATCACTATACTAGAGAGAATAGGAATGTCATGTGGATGTTTGGGGGAAAACACACTTGAACAAGTGACATTAGGCAAAACTAATGTTAAGTGTGGAAGAGCCCTCAATTGTATCTCCAGCAGATCTGGGTTCAATCCTCACTTCTGCCACCAGTCATTATTGTGTGGACTTAAGAACTCATATTTCCTCTAATTGCATTCTAGAATTTAGAAATTGGTGCCTTGCCTCCTCAGCTTTTTAAACTTTGGGGAAAAAAGCAGCAAAACGAATATTACTCTTAAAGAACCAGTGGAATATTCTCACCTGTGTTGCTCAAGGGTGTATGGGTTGTGCATGTTACAGAACTATGTACCACAGGTATTGATCAGTGTGTGTTTTCTGTAGACTCCATTCTGCTCCCAAAATACAAAGCTTGAGTTGTTCTTTTAAAATGGCAAGAGTTTTTTTTTTTGGGGGGGTGGCTTTGTCCAGTCTGTGGTGGCATAGAGGGATGTAAGTAAGGCCTCTAAGCCTTCAGTTCTTGCCCACCCCATGCAATCAATTCAATATTTTAATACCTTGTTTAGATACTCTAATAATTTGATGAATGCAATCACCACTTTGGGTACAAAAACAAAGTGAACAACTGCAGGCATGATTTACTCACATTCAAGCCCAGGTTTATAACTGTCATTCAAAAGTATATTGAAAATTTAATTCTAAATACTTAAATCTTTTTACACATTCGCGTGTCTTACTTTTTGATATGTGATGAAACCTTTTGCACATTTTGCCCTATGTCCATATTTCATTTTAGATTTTACAAAATGCATGGTCTATAAATTCTCATCATAATAGCCTAAGAAAGCCCACAGTAGGTGCTTTAAAACTATTTGAGTATGAATGGTATTAAGAAAATTGACAGCTTTTATTTCTGGAAAATGCTTGTTTATTGCAAATTGCTTAGCACACAAAAGGAGACGAAAGAAAGAAGACGGGCCAATGTATCCAGGAAGTACAATGCCATCAGTTGAGGCCAATTTTATCTTTAAATGGGAAGAGATTAGGTATACAGCATTGGAAACAAGACAAAAGAGTCCCCCATGGCAGTACTGCCCTCCAATGTCATTCAGCAGATTGAAATTCGGGGTTCTTCTAGGTGGAGCCCTTTCTCTCAGTTGTTCATAAAGTGGTTGTTCACTGGGATTCACGTTCATATTTCCCTTTAAAAAAACTCTTTACTCCATTTCACTGAGAATCCTTTTTAGAGCTTTTTGTTTGAGTGCTGACTAAACACTTCCAGCCAGAAGTCTTTCACTCTACAGATGGGGAAAGCCACTGTGCTAAACTCTCTCTTCCAGAAGAAACCAATACTAGCACAGTGGTTAAAACTGCAGCACTGCAGTAGAGATTCTGCTCATGACTGAGTTCAATCCTGCGCTCAGAATGCCTTCTGAGGCTGGCAAATGAAAATGACCACCCCCTGGAGGGATGGGGAGGGGGCAATGTGTGGCCTGAATACCCAGAGAGTGCTTTGAGCACTACGAGACAGTAAATAAGCAAAACACTTTTACTAAAAAGTATGTCACGATTTCATCAGGGATGAAAAGGTACAGAAAATCACAGGAAAAATCACTATACTAGAGAGAATAGGAATGTCATGTGGATGTTTGGGGGAAAATACACTTGAACAAGTCACATTAGGCAAAACTAATGTTAAGTGTGGAAGAGCCCTCAATTGTGTCTCCAGCAGATCTGGGTTCAATCCTCACTTCTGCCACCAGTCATTATTGTGTGGACTTAAGAACTCATATTTCCTCTAATTGCATTCTAGAATTTAGAAATTGGTGCCTTGCCTCCTCAGCTTTTTAAAATTTGGGGGAAAAAGCAGCAAAAAGAATATTACTCTTAAAGAACCAGTGGAGTATTCTCACCTGTGTTGCTCAAGGGTGTATGGGTTGTGCATGTTACAGAACTATGCACAAAAGGTATGCCAAATGGTATTTGGAAATTCTACTGAGCGCACAAACAAGTACTTTTCCTATCTACTCAGATGTCCATTCAATGACTGTAGATTCCATTTCCATTGTAAGTGGAAATTGTTTTGCTACCAAAATGACTTGTGACCACGCTGTTTGTTCTCATTAATTATGGAGATCCTCTTAATGATGAATAGTCAATAATCCCCTCATGAGAAAAATGTTTTGCAGTGGGAGTAGAAGTTTACCTAACTGAGCACATCCCCAAACAACGATGGGGAATGTTTTTATGGGATGTGAAGAGAGGTAGGTTGATAGCCCCAGATGACTGATGCAGCATGTTTCCTTACAATAGTTTCTGGCAGCCAGAGATGATTGTCAGGCTAGGTACAAACACATTGGCTTGTCTCTATTTAGAACTGTCTTCATAATACTGCATAGTTTAAACTGGTTGCCACTGACAGTGAATCCAGGCTACAAAATTAGACCTTGCATTTGTTTTTGCACACATGTGTTTTGGTTGCTAGAAAATGGGAAACATGGCCAAGGCGATTCTAAGACTAGGGCTTTGTAGATGAGCCCTTGCCACTGAAAAATGATCCAATGTGATTTTTCAGTGAGGAAAACACAAATGTGGGTGTTTCAAGAGTGGGCAGTTGCTTCCACAATCATTCCCTACAAGGTATTCATTCTGTCAGACACTGCCTTCACTTAATTGAGTGGCACTGGGCTTCAATCAGGAAGAAGCTCATTGTTTTCTACCTTGCAAAGCTAATCTGGTAGCTAGAAATGGAAGGGCAGAGTGTCACCTACAGGCTGTTCAAGTGCAGTGCTAAATATGCCAAATTTAATCCAGTGCAGATAACACAACCCAGATTGCAGAGAGAGGAGAGGCCATGAAATCTGAAGAACGTCTGACGCAGACTTCGGTATTTTACATCCTTTTCCTTCAGAAGCTGGTAAGCCTCCCGCTGGGCCGACAGTCCCACTTCTGCCCCCAAACCATGCTCCCTTTCAATCTCCTGCATCTTGAACATGGTCTTGGTGGTGACTTTGGAGATCCAGAAGGCATTAGCAGTGGCCAAGACAAGGCAAACAAAAAAGACCACAATCTATAAAGAGAAAACGAGGCAGCGTGAGTATTTCTAGAATATGGGTGCAAGACAGCACTGGTAAGTCTATTTCTATGATGGCTGGTGCTTTCACATGTGGGAAAGGCAGGACATGAATATAGCTTTCCTAATTCTTGAGACCACTAGATTAGTATTGTATTCATTTGATCCTTTTAGTACTGTTCACGCACTGTTGTTACCTTACATACTGTCTTTTAAATGTTGTAAGCTACCTTGGGTCCTTTTTAAGGAGAAAGGTGCGTTACAAATATTTTAAATAAAATACATTTTTAGCTCAGCCAATTCCAAAGAAGCAACACAATAAAGACAGGCACACAACTGTGTACCACAGAGCAGTGGTTCTCAAACTGGGGTCCCCGGATGTTCTTGGACTGCGATTCCCAGAAGCCTTCATCACTTGCTGTGCTGGCCAGGATTTCTGGGAGTTGCAGTCCAAGAACATCTGGATCACTCAAGGGTGGAAACTACTGCCATAAGGTCAGCTTGCCTACAAGCACCATGATTATTACATCTGGCCACACGTGGGCTTCCGCCTCTTCCCCAGGCTAAGTACCTACAAGCACCATGACTATTACATCTGGCCACACGTTGTGGGCTTCCGCCTCTTCCCCAGGCTAAGTAAGAGTTCTGAATATCCAGAAGCTTCTCTTGTTTGTAACTGTTTACTGATCAAAATACTACTGAACGTAGAATTTCGTATATAGCGATAGATGAAAACAGGTAATTTGAGTATTCCCTGTTCAAAGTGAGTTAAACAAATTTGTAACATTTACTAGGGCAATGGAACTGCACAGTATTTTTCAGTCACAGACCATGTGTCCTTGACATTTTGTTTGCCACATAGATAAACTCTGTGCTGATCTAAGATGAAGTTGTGAGAAACGAGAAGTGTGAACCCTATGACTGTTTTGAGACCAAGCCAGTTAAAATCAGTTTTGGATATGGTTCATAAAGCTGACAAAATTTGCTACGGGTCTCACAGAATGGACCTTAGTAGCTGCTTTTCCCACAATAAATGCTTCCTCTCTGAGGCACACAAGCAACAAAACAGAGGGCCTTGGCTACTAGATGGGCAGTATATAAATTGAATGATCGAATGAACGAATGAATGAATAAGCAAGCAAGCTGCATATAAAAAATCAAAGATTTTAAGGCAAAATCCATAAGTAAATGTAATACTGCATTGTCCACATGCTGGAGATCAACTTATTCCATTTTCTGTCCCCAAATAAAATAACCTGTACATAGATGCATAAGTAAATTATTAGTAACGAGTTACAATGGCCGCTCTTGTCAGTTTTTTCTTAGTGCTGAACTAACCTGGTTTCTACCAAGTACAATCAGGCTTAAGAAAGAAAGGAGATTTATTTTAAATCCTCTGTGCCTTGGCTACTCACAAGGCAGAATCGGGGCAAACATTCCACCCTCCCTCTCTTCCATGAGGCTTCCAATGACTTGAAAACAGCTCCCTAATCCACCAGGATGCTGTGCACACCCACCCTGTTCAAAGCCACTCCCTCAGGAAAACATTAAACTCAAAACCAGTCCTCTGAGGCAGAACTTGGAACATCCTCCACTATTAAGGCTCCATTGCCGCCATCCAGGCTGGCCATCACAGTCCAGCATTCTTGGCCCTTACCAGCATTTGCTTCTGACAACAAAGAGCACCCCATGCGTGTGCGTGTGTGTGTGTGTGTGGGGGGTCAAAATTGGGAACGATGATAAAAGGAGAAAATAAAAATAAAGTGGTAAATAAAACCAAGTGGTAATAGAGTATCTTTTTATAAGAATGGATTGTGTAAAATATTTTTAAATGGTTAATAACCTATTAGTGACCTTACAGTTTAGTAGGTTGTCTTTTTTTATAATCATCTTTGGTTTTCTTTGAAAATATAGCACTGAAGTGGGAGGGGTTCAGGTGGGGAAGAAAGAGGTGGTGATAATGTATTAAACAAGGTTTCTTGTCTCTAAAGATGCAGATGATTTAGTGAGATGAGAAAAGAACAGAGGAAAGCACAAATCTTTATCTACATCTGCGGAAACATAAGCCCCACTGATTTCAGATGCATGTTCCCAAGCAAGACTGCTGTCAAAATTTCATAAATGTTGAGCTGTAATAATGTTGGACTGAAACCTATGTGTTGATGGTTTCAAGATATGTTATTAAAGAAGATATTTAAGGACTTCATTTTGGCATATTTGATTATTTTTCACCATTCTCAAGAAATGGATGCCACCATATTTGGGTTGATAATTTGTTATATAGTTTTATCTACAAATATTTACAGATTGCTTTCAAAGAAGTGTACAGCAATAATTGCTTTTCAAAGCAGCTCGAGACTCCCATTAAAAAACAAAACAAATATAGTAAATGGAAGCACCTGGGTAGGCACTATCATCTATTCTGGTTTTTTTTTTTTTTTTTTTTTTTTGGGAGAGGGGGAACTTCCTGAAGCCACTAAGCTCAAAGCCACTACTCCTTGAATCTTCCAGGAATAGAAACAAGATGATTTATAAAGTTTAATAAAATTCCATAAAACAGGCAGGACAATAGGATAACAGCAGTCAGGAAGTTTTCCAGGGTGGGATGGACGAGTGGACTAAGAGCTGCTATTTTGCACTGGCAAATGAGTAAATGGCTTGATCCCTTTAAAAGCAGAAAGCTAAAGAAACTCAAGATGCCAACATAAGTGAGTGGTCCCACCCATGGGTCTCCCATTCCAAGAAGCAGCAAGATTTTAACTACTGATTGGCACCTACCTGGACAGTTTCCCAAGCATTCAGAAGCTCACGTGGGTGGTATGTAGCAAAGATGGCAAGATTCACAACTGTGCAGACAATCAATGTGTAGAAATAGAAAGGAAAGAGTTTGCTTTGCACTAGGCCAAAGGTGTGCCGGCTCACTCCTCGGATAAGAACAAACCCTAGGACAGAGAAGGGACAAAGTGACAAAGGCAGATCAGGCAGGTGTTGCTCTCTGAGCCAAGCAAAGGAGGCAGCATTTGACAGCATTGGGCCGAACTGGGGGCAAGGACACCTGGAGTCTAGACAAAATTCTGGAAGACTAGGAGGCAAGACTTTTAACCAGCTGGCTGGGGCATTCTTAGGAGTTGCAATCAAAAAAGCAACTTTTCAGTGCCCAGAACCCTGCTGGGAACATGCTGCTCTAAGGGTAACTGTGTAGGTCACAGTGGTGAATTGCCACTAATTAAAAAGTTACCACTCATATTCTTGACTGCATGCCAGTCACACAACTTGGCACATGCCCAGGAGTGTGAGCAGCAACTTGTCAACCAGCAGCAATTTGATGCTACAATTCTGGCAACTATATTTTTACCAGTATAAACCCCCAATAGATTCTGGCCCATGCATTTAAAGAGGGATGGGCAACTATTAGCCCCCCAGGTCTGGCAGAAGCTCTCTTCAGCCACAGTGAGGATAGTTGGGGTAAAGAGTCCTCCTGTAACATCAAGAGGGCCATAAATTGCCTTTCACTGTGTCAGAGAAAGGGGTTGAAGGAGGGCTCAGAACATGCAATGCACAAAGTTGTTTCTCTCAAACTGTCTTGTCTCACTTCTAAACGTATCCTTTGAGTTAGGGCAGGCTAGAAATCTAAGCCAGCTTTCTCCCCACTGCCTCACCAACAAACATACCTGCAATGAAGGTCACCCATATCTCCATCCCCCAGGCTGTTGAGAGCACAAAAAGCTGGATGACTCTGATAAGGCTGCTTGGCTCGCCTTCTGTCGCCATTTCTGTAGCAAGGGGCCTAGGAGTGGGCAGGGAAAATCAAGAGGGGGGGGGAAGTCATCACACAGAAATACTTGCGTTACCGATAATGGCACATACACTTCATGCCCACAACAGGCTAAGTACAGACAGGGAATGTGCAAAGGGACATACGGACATTGTCCCAGTTTACTACAGGCTATTTTCTGTAGACCAGAGCCAATAACAGAAATATACAGTGTATGCATCACTTGAACCTGAAAAGGCAGCTCAAGCAAAATCCACAATGGATTTTTGGGCAAGTGTAACATAGGACGACACAGCACCATCCCCAAGAAGAGAAATAAAGAATGAAGCAGAAAACCAGTCAATCCCAAAAAGGATAGCGGTATGCATTTCGGCGCACTCTGCAAAATGTTGATACAGTGACTTTCTACAAAAAATGACCATGCTATGTGTCACTTTCTTCCTCATCCACAATACAGCCACAAAGCAGAACCTGGAACTAGCAGCCCTATTCCTCTTCTGTCCTCACATTAATCAGGTTTAAGAGAGGTTTTCCCCTGTTTGTAAAGTCATAGTAGTGATTTTGATACACATGTTATACCAAAATATGTAGTTGTAATGCAGGAACTACCTCATCAAACAAGAACACAAGAGCTTTTAAAACGCACTACTCCTAATGCAAGCCAAACAGGATGAGAAGGAATCATTGTGGTCATACTGTATTTGTAATTTATATTCCAGAACTACTTATATTCCAGAACTACACATTTTTTTTTACATTTCACTGAGGTAAGAGACATCTGGCTAGTGGCACAGCAGTCGTTTGACCATGCATTAACAGTATGAACATTATAAAATATACTAACAATGTTAAAATTATAAACATTTCATAACTACTCCTACTGCTTCCTTACACAACAGCTGGCAGAAAAAGATAGGGGATGGAAGGAGGCATAAGTAGGCCCAACCCAGAAGTACGATAATCCTGTGTGTTGACTGAAAGCAGCTACCACCTGAATTTCACCTTTGCCATGCATTGGCATAACGTCTCCCTCAGGGCTGAATCAAGCCGTTTTTTCTGCAAATGGTCTTTGCCCGCCCCACCTCAAGCTGACTCAGGGCCAGCGATACCCATAAGGCCGAGAGAGGAAACCGCCTCTGATCAGGCAACAGTTTTTGGAGTGTCATGGAAGTTAGCAAATTCTTAATTACTGCATTTATTTTATTGCCAGAAATGGACGCCGTAAGCCTGTGGCCGGGATATGGCCCGCTTTGGATCGTGTACACCTTGATTGGGTGGGCAAAGGAACTCGGGAGCTGAAGGGCACCCATAGGGTTAAGGGCAGGCGGAGGCCGTCGAACGCGGGAGCCTGGGAAAGTTACACTTTGGACTACAACTCCCAACATCCCCCCATGCAATTTGGCCGCAGGCTGGAGGACTAAGGGACCCAACAAGTACTGTAGTTTTCTCAGCCTCTCTCTTCTCAAGGATCCCCCCGGCTAGCTAGCTGTTGACTTTCACCCCGCCAGCACCGCTCGCCTTTTAAAAACACGAGTCAGAGTCGTTTCTTTGGCTCAGAGCACTTCTGAAAAGGGTCCGTCCAGGTACACAAGCCCGAACACAAGGCAGCTGCTGCCCCCCCCAATCCAATCCATCCCCATTGTCGTCTCTGTCCCTGCCGGGAGGTCCAGGTCGGCAGCAGGCCCCCTGAGGACCCACCTAGGGGTGGGAATCCAGAAGGTGCCCGGAATAGAGCCACGGCTCCAGCAGACACACCGAGTCCTGGCGAAACCTGGTGCCCCTTCCCTTCGGGGAAACCGGGCTTGCTCCGAAGGCAACTGAACCACCGCGACCGCCGCCCAGAGAAATCCCACCTGCACGGCGGGCGGGCGGGCGGCCCTGCAAAGATACGTCCGGACGTGGACGGTCGGGCCAAGCCGAAAGTGGGCGCCGAAGACCCTCTTGCCCTGCTCCGGGCCGTGGGGCCAGGCCTGCCTCCGACGAATTATTGATTAGATAATCACCTGGCAGATCTGCTTTGATTGTATTCCTGCATTGAGCACGAGGGTGGAAGGTGCCAGGCCTGCCTCCCACGAATTATTGATTAGATAATCACCTGGCAGATCTGCTTTGATTGTATTCCTGCACTGAGCACGAGGTTGGAAGTTGATGACCCTGTAGCCCCCCCTTCCGACTTCACTATTCTCAGATGCTGCGATGCTTGCACGCGCGCACACACACCCAACACCCACCTCGCCTCGGCAGCGCCCACCACACTGTTGCTCCCTCTCGTGTCCCCTGCAATTCAGCCCCGACCAAGCTCCGCCTCGTGGTTTACAAGGGGAGGGGGGAGAGAACGCGTCACGGAGAGAGGGGCGGGGGCAACATGACGAGGCCACGCCCCTTTGTTGCACAGCGCTGGCATGGGCGGGGAAGGGGGGGCGGGCGGTGGCTGGCCGGTCGTGCTTTTCAAGGCGGGACAAAAGCGCGGAGGGCGGGCGAGTGGTGCCCCCGGAGGATGGACGCCCTGGGAGGAAGGAGGTTGGCCACTAAGGTACAAGCGAGGCCCGGGAGGAGGTGCTGAGCAAGGGCTTGCAAGCTGTGAAAAAGACCGCCCCCCTCCCTCCCCCCCGAAAAGGTCGGGATCTGAATCCAGATCCCAGGGAGAGAGAGGAGCGTGAAGGGAGGCGCTTCTTATTTCCCACCATCAGCGGTTTAGTTTTCTAGCCGCTAAAAGCGGTTCTGTCAACCAGGGATGCCTCCGATGGAAGGAACCCCTGAGCACGTGTAGAGCCTTCCTTCCTTCCTTCCTTCGCGGGCTGCCTTGAGATGCGGCGATGGTCCAGTTTAGGGCGACCATTTAAAACCTTATACTGTATAAAAGGAGGACAAAAGGGGACGCGCCTCTGGACGACCCTGGATAGGCTGATTTATACATGGAAATGATACAAAATCAGAAATGATTTTTGGGATCTGAACTGAATTATTGTGCTTCTCCCTGGAGTGAGGAAGACGGTGAGCTGTAATCCTGTCCTGGCGCTCCTAACTGTGGGTGGGCTTCTTCACATCCCTGATGGGCTTCCACTCTATGGTTCCTTATTTTTCGATCAGACCCCAGAGTGGGCAGACTTTTACACGGAGGACCTCTCCTAAAGTAGGTTCATTTCCTGGCAACTTTTCAGAAAGACCCCTGCACTTTTCAGATGAAGACATCTGAGCACCCTAACAATTCCCTTTGAAGTTGTTGTTGCTCAGTCGTCCTCTTCGTGACCCCATGGACCAGAGCATGCCAGGCCCTCCTGTCTTCCACTGCCTCCCGGAGTTGGGTCAAATTCATGTTGGTTGCTTCGGTGACCCCGTCCAACCATCTCATCCTCTGTCGTCCCCTTCTCCTCTTGCCTTCACACTTGCCCAACATCAAGGTCTTTTCCAGGGACTCTTCTCTTTTCATGAGATGGCAAAAGTATTGGAGCCTCAGCTTCAGGATCTGTCCTTCCAGTCAGCACTCAGGGTTGATTTCTTTCAAAATGGATAGGTTTGTTCTCCTTGCAGTCCAGGGGACTCTCAAGAGCCTCCTCCAGCACCACAATTCAAAAGCATCAATTCTTCAGCAGTTGGCCTTCTTTATGGTCCAGCTCTCACTTCCATACATTGCTACTGGAAAAAACCAGTATACTGTACGGACCTTTGTCGGTAAGGTGATGTCTCTGCTTTTTAAGATGCTGTCGAGGTTTGTCATCGCCTTCCTCCCAAGAAGCAGACGTCTTTTAATTTCGTGGCTGCTGCCACCATCTGCAGTGATCATGGAGCCCAAGAAAGTAAAATCTCTGACTGCCTCCATATCTTCCCCTTCTATTTGCCAGGAGGTGATGGGACCAGTGGCCATGATTGTTGTTGTTTTATGTTGAAATTCAGGCCATTTTTTGCGCTCTCCTCTTTCACCCTCATTAACAGTTTCTTTAATTCTTCCTCAACTTTCTGCCATCAGAGTGGTATCATCTCCCTTTGAAGTATCTATATGCTATTAGGGGCCCTGGTCACACACACTGCAGCATGAGGAGAGACCCAGTGGGAGAAACCCATGAGATTGAGCCCTTGGAGATCCTGTTGGGCTGTGAAACTGTCCAGAAGGCCCTTCACTCTGTCCTTCTTTCTTTCAGTGTGATCGTCACAAGATTGTTATGAGGACAAAGTGTAAAGAAGGAGAGCTCTGTGTTGAGCTCCATGGAGATAGGGCAGGAAATAAATGCAGCAAATAATAGTACTTCAGTCAGGGGACCCCTGTTTGAGCCTTTTCCCCGTGGAACTTCCAGTGCTTATTCCTCCAAGCTGGGGGAGTCCTTGAAAAGCATCCTGGACCTGCAGCTTAATTCCACTGTAGCTCCAGAGAAGAGGTTGCCACTTGGAAGTTGCCACCCTTCCCTCCTAAGAAATCAAAACACCTGTTTGGATGAACATGCCTCAAAGTAGGCAATGCCAGGTAGTCAATGGCTAAATCTTGGCAAGGCCACGGGGTTTAGTTAACCTGAGTTTCTCTTGAAAACAGTCTACAGATCAGAGATCGGAAGGTCTCTTGAAAAGCTTTATTCAAAGAAATAAAAGTGAAAAAACAAAATGGAAGTTGCACCTGGCAAAGCCAGAGGTTGAATGGTTGCGAAGTAATGGGAAACAGTTACAAAACCAAAGAACAAAAAAACAAAATGGAAGTTGCACCTGGCAGAGCCAGAGGTTGAATGGTTGCGAAATAATGGGAAACAGTTACAAAACCAAAGAACAAGCTTCTGGAAAATGAGTAAAATTAGGCAAAAACAACAACAATTTAAAAAAGACACCCTCAAGTCATTGTCAAAATATTAACAAGCAGGGAACTCAGCAAAATAACAGCACACAAACAAAACAAGAAAGGTATTCTGTCATTGGGACTGAAATCTACTCTTTCTCACTCCCCAGTCTCATGACGGCTTAGCTACTTATGAGTTGCCTTTCTAAAAACTTCCTCAGAGGGCAGGGCAAGTCGCCCTTTCCTGGCTAAGGACTAACTCACGTCTTTCCCTCCCTCCTGGATGTTGTTCTCCATCTGCGTTGCTGTCCAATCGGAGTTGTTGTTCTCTCTCCTCTCCACTTCCTAAGAGAACTCTAAAGTTTTCCTGACATCTTTCTCTTCATACTTCAGAGACTCTAAGATGCGCAGTTCAGGAGACACGGATCCGGGTTACAGATCCAGATGTATTCTTTGAACCATTCAGATGTCAGTTGTTTTCCTTCAGGGCTAGAGCAGCGTGCCCAACTTTAGGCCTGTCCTGATTAACATATCACAGAGATCTTACTCCTGGGCTTCAAACCTGGAGGCTCTTTGATTTCCGTTTCTGGGCCTGTGTTTTCCCATGAGAACTAAAGCTAACATAAGATACTATCATTTATGTAAGGAATCAAAATCACATCAGGGTATCATCTCAATTTCTCTACAACTTGTGCAACTATTGGCATACTCACAATAAGGAAGGGATGCTGCGGGTTTGCCTGCTGAGGGGGAGGCTGCTGGAGAAGGGGGCTTGGCCAAATGGAGTGGAGTTTTTGTAGAAGGCCCAACCCTGCATCCCCCAAAAGTTTCAGATAAGGCCCAAGAGAGGACCATGTGGCCCAATGGCAAGTGGTGTGGGTTCCTGGATCATGTAAAGGAGAGCATTCATCTGATCCTGTCTCTGGTGTGGCCTTATGTCATGTAAGCTGCTTCTGTAAGAAGGGAAGGACAGGATAAGCCCTCGTTCTGAGCTGAGCCACAAGTCAGCTTGACCCTGGAGACTGCTCAGTGTCACTGGGTTTGCTTTCTTTGCCTAAGTGCCCCCCCGCCCGCCCATTACTTCTGCTTCTTAGGAAACGTAAACAGAAAAATAAACATTCCTCCAGTTTAACACTTTGAGCTTCTTGTAGGAAGGGGGGAAATATACAGAAAGTCACATTTCTACGCTCTGCATGAGAACCATGATGAGTGCACATGACTGGTTTGACCAGTTCTGGGGTTCCTGATGACAAGGAAGTTCTGGTCCCCATATCTGATCCGAGTGGGCTGCACACCGTCTGGGACCCAGGCTGCCCAGATGGCCCTTCCCCTGATCTTTAACTCTTGCTGTACTGTACTATTCAAACACCAGCCCATCTTCTAGTACATCCTCCACACGGTGCTGCCTCAAGCAGGTTACTTCGCGTGGCTGATCCCTCACGCAATTGCCTGGTGGCTGCCATTCCTGTGGAATAATTACAGTCTCAGGAAATCCCATTCTGTCTCTAGACTGAACAGAGGATTTTGGTGGTGTCTCAGTTCTGCCTGACCCCCCTGGAGGGGTCAATATATCTTTGCAGCCTCCTTTCTTTGCAGTTCAGTTCACACCCTCACACAGGGAGGGGGCTGAAAGAGAGCTGCAGCCATAGGAAGAAGGGCATCTCTAGAGATCACGTCCTCACAGGAATGTGCTGTGTTTTCTTCTCTCCAATGTTTAGGCTTTTTTTTTAAATTTCTCTCCCTTTTGGTTAGGGAGGCTGGCTAGTCAGGAAAACTGTGCAGAGCATACTCTGCACTCCTGCTTATGAAGACGTGACCCTTCACACAGCTTACAGAGTGGGGAAGCACTGGGATAACAGGCGGGACTAAGTGTTTCGTTAACAATTTTATATTATTATTAACCTTAATTTTAGTGCAGTGTGAACCAGATGTACAGGAAACTCCTGCCTTAGGTTGCCACCTACTGGCCAGCGCGTGTACTGTCAGGCCTGCTTCAGGAAGCTGCCAGGTCGAGATAGAGCCACTTCTTCTGTTGCCAACCCTAGGCCAAATTCTGGACAGCTGTTGCTGGTCCATTTATTGTGTGGATGCCTTTTCTGACCTTCGTCTGCTCTTAAGAGGTGGTGCAGCCTCTGCCCAGAAAGCTTAAGGCTAATGTCAGGCAGGCAAGATAAAGTGAGACGTAGAGGAAGGTCTTAGTGGCAGAGTGTCTCTCGCTAATCTGGTCTGGAGAATGTTGTGTTCTATCCGAGGGAAGGGATACGAAGGAAACGTGGCATGAGCTTTCAATGCCGTCTGGAGGGTGGCGTCCACCAAGATATTCTCCCCTGGAAGCCCCCCTGAACTGGGAAAGAAGGGCACAGAGCAGCTCTTGCATTGTTTCCTGTAAGAAGGGGCAAAGCTGGGAAAGACCTCTGGCTCAGAGAGGCCCTGCTCATTCTGGAGGGTGGGTGGGTGCCCTGGAGCACTGCTCATAAGAGGACTTGCCTGCATATCCTGCTCATGTCCCCATGAATGAGGCTGAGACTCCAACTCCCATCAGCCTCAGCCTCACCCATCATCGGGCGACGGGAACTGTAGATCAGCAATGCCGAGTAGACGGCCATAGCTTGCCCACTTTTGCTTTCAGTTAATAAAAAGGACTCTGGAAACATTACTCTTTGGGGTGAAAAATCCCAGAATCAGCTAGCTAGGAGATTCTGGGAGCTGTCTTTTCAATGATGATAAAAATAAGTAGAAATTCTAAACTCTACTCCAGCCAGAGACTTTCATGGTGCCTACAAGTAGGATCAGAAGGCATAGGGTCTGCCTTCCCTATTCTTGGCAGTGCTCCAGTGACGTCCCTTCCAGCGAGCTGGTCGTTTTGGAGCCAAAGGTCTTTCCCAGCCTTGCTGCCTCCAATTCTTTGCTTCCATGCCTTTTATGTCTTCCAGAAACAGGATTTTTGACTCAAGGGTCCTGAATGAGGCCCCGGGGCAGGCTAGGCAACGAGGGCCTCACAGTAGAGAGTCTGTCTGAGTAAAAAGATTCAATGGGAATTAACAAAAGAACATAAGTCACAGAATTGAGAAATAAATTATTCTTAAAAATGGAGCAAGACTTAAAATCAATGAAGAAAATAAGTGCAGCCAGTGAACGGTCCAGAAGTAAGTCGCTCTCTCAGAAGCAAAGGTATCAAAGCTTCTTAATCAATAGAATATAACTAGATGCAACCAGATGAGTGGATGGAAGCAATACAATAATTTTTTTTTTCAAAAACCCACAAATGTGCAGTGCTTTCATGGACAATAATAAATGGTCCCAGCTCTTTTAAACTAAGCTCCCAGAAGGAACCATCGGGAAGACAGGCCACAGTTGTTAAAAGTCACAGCTTAACATGTGTTTGAACCCTGATTGCTGCTTTTCTCGCCCTAAGGAGAAAGAGATTTAGGAGAGGTTGATTTAGAGCAGAGAAGCAGCCCTTGGGGCTTCAGCCTGGCCCAGCCTGCTAGTTTTTCTGATGCAACTCCTCTCCCTGAGAGCCATTTCTCCCTGCCTCACTGCACAGGGGAAAGTGGTTGGTGTGTGTGGGAGGAAATCTGGAGCAAAGAAGTATCTAGGGGAGCGAAGCTGAAGCAGCCTTGTGGGTTCATTCTGTTGTGCAGTTTGTCTCATAATAACAATACAGCAAAGCTATCCTGTGGCTAAGGGAAAATCCAGATCAGGACGGGAGGCTGGATGCTCATTTAAGAATTAAATGTCCTTAGATTCCCCTTGTTTATATACAGAAGCCATTTAAAAAAAAAAACATGCCATTTGTTTTGGTACCTTTTCTTATATCCACAAGTGTTTTAATGGGCGGTGGTGGTTTCTCTATACTTTCTTGCAACCAGGTGTAAACTGTTGGCATCTTGGGAGGAAGGGGCTTTGGTGTGTTTTTGTTTGTTTGGTTTGAGTCCTGATTGTGTGGATGGCTCCAATGCTATCTTGGTGGTTTTCGAGACTAGAGCAAGAGACTAGAGCAAGAAGAACTGAGAAGGCCGTGGGATGAAGTAGCTCCCCCAGCCAAAGCCACCCATAGAGCCTCTCTCTCTCTCTGCCGTACCCATACCCCATTGAAAGCTCTCGTCGAATGCCACAAGCGAGCCAAACCGTAGGCCAGGGATGGAGAGCCTCCGAGCCTCAGCGGGCCGTTGTCCTCTTTCCCTCAAGCTTCCTCTGCTGTTCCCTCCCATCCATCATCAGGGCTAGAAGCCTGCGAACCTGATCTGTATCCTTGAGCTGTACTTTGCAGCCCAGTAAGTGGTAAGGAGTAAGGGAAGTAGACCTGCACAGAATGTCATTGCGTTTTTGTCTGATGGGGGGGGGGGAATGCCCAAACAGTGAAGAATTAGGCCTTTCTGGCCCATTCCATCCACGGCCCCAAGATTTGCCTGTAGCCCAGCCTGCTGCTAAAATGCGGCCCTGGGATTCTTCAGACCCCCTCCCCCAATTAAATGTTGGCTCTAGTTTCCTGACACAGATCGGGGGGCAATCTAGGCCACTAGGACACATGCTCCACAGTAGAGTGTCTGTCTGAGTAAAGATCTGCAGGTGAATCGAAGCAGTGAGAAGAAGTCGCCTCTGCTACCTCTAGTCAAGAGTCTTTTCCAGCCCTGGCCATGATGATTTTTCACTTCCTTGGCAGGAACAAACTCCAGGAACTAAGTGTCAAACAAGAAAGTCCTGGAATGGAAGCCATAGGAACCTCGGAATGGTTTGTCTGTTCCTTCCTTGCTGGCAAATGAATTTGTCAATCGCTTTGGTAAAACGGGAGTCTCTCTTTTTTTTCCAGGCACCAACGATGATGTCAATTGTCACAGATGAACAGAGTCGAGACATCTCACCCAGCTGGTACCTGGCTCGAGCAGGCAGCCCTTCCCCAGAGGTAAGTGTCTCGGATGGGCTCCAAGGAGGTGGCAGAGGAATAATGCTTGTGTTCTGCTCATTCAGGAGGCGGGCATGTGTGGCCTTCCAGAGGGGTTTAGCCTGTCCCTGTTCTCTTCCCTGGCATACAGTCCTGCACACACAGAGGTCTAAGGCTGCTTGCTTATTACTTCTCCGGGTGTGTTTACAAGAGAGGTTGGGGCTGCACCTCCTAGTCCCACCCCTGATATCTCTGGACTGCTGCTTTGTTTAGATGCCACTTCTAAGCTGTGCGACTTAGCAGGAAATGCTGGAAAAGAGAGCTTTGGCACATAGAAGGCTTTCTTTTCTGACCCTCTACTGAACGGATAGATGTGAAAGCTAGAGGGTCCCATGGATGCTGGGGGTTGGCCCAGCCAGTACAGCCCTGCTTCCCCCTCTTCCTGCAAGGCACACAGGCAAGGGGATGACAACTGACCCACTTCCCACGGGGGAGTCCTGTGCCATCAAGCTCCCAAATTAACTGCAAGCCTATTTGCATGTCATTATGTCTGCGCCCGTTTTCAGGCGGCCACACTGAGCATGCAGACATCAGATCTGATGGCAGGAAGCTTCTGCTCCTTTAGATGGCAGAGGCTCCGAGGGGATCCTCTGCTCAGACTGGATTCCAGGCTGCCCTATACTCCACCCCCCACCCTGGTCATTTTCACCAGGGACTATTACGGGTCTGTGTCCCAAGGCCTTTGCGAAAGAGCTAGCCCCTCGGAGCAACGCCAACGGGACTCCTCTGCTTCTCTTTGTGCAGCAGGGCTCACTGGAGATAGCGGCGATGAAGCCAGCTGGTAAGTGTTGTTTTCTCCATGATAATACAGGCTTTGAGATAACCAGCAGGTTGTCGGTGTGTGCCAAGGCTGAGTGTACCCATGGTGGCAAAGGCCTGGAAGGAGGCAGGGGGGAAAGGGCAGTTTGCTGAATAAAGGCATCCCGGCCGGGAGCACTTGGTCCGGCTTCCATGGGATCTCAGATCCCCTTCCTCTCTGCATCTCACAGTGGGGATCAAATGAAAGGCTTGTGCTCCTTGTCTTGCACTCCAAAAGAGAAGGACTGAAGTCCACCACCATTCATTTCTCCATTTATGCCTTGGCTGTTGATATCCCTCACATTTGCCATTTATCCAGAGCTGCACCCCGAAATGCTTGCTGTCCAGCCTTCTGGAAACAGGGACGCCGCCCCATGCCTGGCTTTTGTGGGCACCAGTGCTGGAGGGACTTGAGTCGTCCTTGGACCTGCTGCGGCCTGCAAGATACTAAGAAGTCAATGGATTTATTTATTTGAGTTGTAGACCGTCCCACTAGTGCTAGTGCTACACAGTCAAATCCTGATGAAAGAGCATTTCAGTTCCTTCATTAGGGAAATGAAGGATGTTTACTTGCCCCTACTTGTGTGGCAAGGTGAGGGCTGTGCAGGGATCACCAAGGACAACCTGCCCCACCAGCCCTGCTGTTGTCCTTTGGTAGTTTGCAGGCTCAGCCTTCATGGACAAAATTGAGCTTCGGCACATTGGGCCACCTGATGGTACAGTACATGTGCGCACCTGTACAAAATGGGTGGGGCTGCACATGCAGGGCATGGCTAGCCCATCTCTGATCACCCACCTCATATGCTCACGATGACAGGGAATTGTCCCCGAGCCGCCTCTTGTATCTCCCCAGTGAAGGCACGGATGTGGCGTGGCTGAGGCGTGCCTGACTGTGTTTGTCTTGCAGCCGTGATCCCAGAGTCCCAGATGATGCCAAAAAATGACCTGGAGCTCATCAGAGCTCAGCTCCAGGCCCAAACCAAGGTGAGTTGAGATGGGAGTGGTGAGTTTGTGCCCCCCCTGTTTTGTGCTCCACATCAGTGGTCCCCAACCTTGGGCCTCCAGATGTTCTTGGACTTCGGCCCCCCTGTTTTGTGCTCCACATCCCTCAGACATGCGGTGGGCATTAATTCTATCTCTGCCACGTCTCTCTGCCAGGCTTTTCAGGCCCTCAGTCACTCCATAACTTTGTTGGAGCAAGAGAGCCGCCAGCAGCAGGAGAGGATCAAGAAGCTGGAAGGTGAGGGGCAGGAGGATGAGGAGGAAGCGCCATCCCAGCTGCCACTTGGCTTTGAAATGGACGTTGCCTTTGCTGCTGTTGTGGAGTCAGGATTCAGCTGAGCAGGAGTCATCCTGCTGCTTTGGCCCTTTGGAAATTTACCTGGAGCCACCTTAATCAGAGCTAAGTGGAGTGAGGAGAAAGTGCACTATGACTCCCAGCACCTTCCTCCCACCCAGCATAGCACAGATCTGGGAGGTGTGGTTTCAAAAAAGCGATATGTGACAGCCCTGTCTGGCTCACACAGAAGCTGCCGGTTTGTCTGCTCTTCTGAACTGGAATGAGAGTTGGACACAAGAAGCAGGGTTGTTGTGACAGCTAACAGATCTCAGAGTATCATTATATTCCCTTTCTTTGTTAGCTAATGAACCAGCGCTGGCTGAAATCCTGCTGTGTCCAGTGGTGATGATGCCAGCAGCAGCAGCAGCTGATTAAAGGCTTCCTTTGAGGATTTCAGGGTGCACGTGATGTCATCACTTTGGGTATTAGGCATGTGCATCTCAAAGTCATCTTTAATCAGCAATGGTTTGTTACCGATTATGATGTCATCATCATTACGCACACAGAGTTGTACAACAGGATTTCAGCTTATGGGCAGTTTGTATTAGCCATAGAAATGAGCCATCTCTCTCCTATTCACAGACTCATTCAAAGAAAGTCTGGAATCCTGCACCTAGCAAGACCACATTCCTCTCTTTCGCTCATATCGTTCATGTGAGGGTTGGAGACCAAGAGCTTTGTATAGTTTTTTAAGCTCCCTGCATATTTCTTCCAGCATAGCTGAGGCCCTTTCAAGCTTATCTCCAAACCCATAATGACGAAAAATATCAGTTTCCAAATGAAAGCTCAGAAGCGCAGCATGCTAAATTCAGGACTGCCTACAGAATCCCACTCTTGCTCAGTGCAATCAAGGGTGTGCAGAATACCTCATCCCTTTTGGCCACTACTGTGGGCTTTCCTGAGCATCATCTCCATTGGTAATCTCAGTGAGCCAACCCATCTGTCTTTTTGTGTCCAGAGGAGGTACAGTTTGCTGTCTGCTCACCTTGTGGGGAAGCATTTGATGGCCTACTGAAAAGAAGAATCCAGGAGGTTTGGAAAGCAGTGGCCAAAGAGGTTGAAGGACTACATGGTTCCATGATCCAGAAGGAAAACTCAGTACAGAGCCTCTCTCAAGAAGTCCTTGAAAGGTGAGGGAATGAGTGTTAGACTAGAGGGAAGGGGCTGTAAACTGGAGCACAAGCTGACATTTCATAATCCTTAACAGAGTGGAAGCCATTTCCCCTGCTTGCAGAGTGACATGACTGGCCCAAGAAAATCTACTCCAGGATGAGCTTGGTCTCCATGGGCAAGGAGTGAAATTTCTATTCCCCAACCACCCTATGATCCCATCAACCTGGCCCAATATGGGTAATGCATAGGGAAGACGGGAGTTGTTGTCCAAAGCATCAGGAAGACCAAACGTTCCTCACTGCTTGCACCTGGCCCTTGGCCAGAGGCTGCCCCTCGCAGCCCAAGCAGAGTGTTAGACAGGAGAGAATGAACTTGGCGGACAATTTTGACAATTCCTAGCTAAGGGCTAGGAGGCAGTGTCCGTGTCTAACAGATAGTGGTGCTTCAGGGCAATCCTTTTCTGCTGCTTTCTTAAATTTCCTCCTTGCTTCCTTTTCTTCCTTCTCTGGCAGTAAGAAGTTTCTTTGGGAGGAGCTGGAAGCAGTGCAGGGTGAACTGCGGTGCATCCATCAGAAATTGAGTAAGTAGCTGCCAGGATCAAGTTTCTTTTGCCCCATTTGTGGTGGATCTGACCCATTCCCTCCCCCAATTTCTTCCCTCCCCTCCTAGACGTTCCCATCTCATGCTGAACAATGGCTGTGACTTTCTAAACCTCCTCTGCAATGACCCTGAAACATCTCTCCATGGTTCCCAAACCCATTTTCATCCCCAAAATCCAGATCAGCTCCATCAGCTTCAAGATGCGGATTAGACAAAGTCCTCCCATCCTTAGGTGACAAGAGATTGATGCTGAAATATAAGAGTGGGTGGAATCCTAACTGGGTATGTTTGGGCTCTTATCCTAGAGGACCAGGAGGTTGGCATCACGAGGAACCTGGTCAGCATTAAGAAAATGCAGGAGAACCAAATGAAATGCACCAGGGTGAGTTGTGTGTCTCCACTTGGTTTAGTTCTTGAAATCAGAATCAGTAGCTATGCAGGAGGGTTTTTGGCCTTTGGTTCTCGCACGCCTACTCTCTCCATTTGTCCGTCTATCCATCCATTCACCCAGATCTATCATGTTTCAAGAGACCCAGACAACGGCAGCCATTTCTAGGATGAGAGCAGAAAAACAAGAACCCATGTTTGAGGGTTGGGCCCTGTAACTTGGTTTATATGATAAGGGGGGAAGAGAGGAGAGAGCGTAGCTTTTCTAGTGCTTGTCCCATATGCCTGTCCCGCCCTGCGCATTCAGATAGAATTGAGACATTCACCCATCTCCCTGCAGTGTCGCACTTCCCACCAAGAACGCCAACAATGCTGGCCATCTGCTTCCCAATTGTATTAGCTTGTGCCTTTTCCTTGCCTGCTAGCTCCTGACCCAGCTGAGAGGCAAAATCCCAGAAGATACACCAGAAACTGTGAATAACAAGCCAGTGTCGGAAGAGCTGAATGACATCTGGTAAGAGCAGTTCTGCCACACGCACGCTCCGGGAGTTGATCCAGGGGGAGACTTTTCTTTTTTCTGGAGACGTAGGTTACCTCAAGGTGTCTTGAGGAATGGGGGAAAGGCTTTGGGGATTTCCGTGTCATGTATCTTGTATTGAGTGTCGGACTCTGATTATGAATCAATAGTTATCCCTGTCTGGAAGGGAAAGGAGGGACTCCTTTCAAGGCAAAAGAAGGAGGTCTCGAAGAGAAACCCATGTGGCCATTTTCCTAGGATCTCTCTTGGATAATATTCTAAGGAGACTCAATCAGAAGGTGGTGGTATTTGTGTGGAGGGGGAGATGGGAGCCAGAAGCAAGAGTTTCAGTCTGTGTAGTTAGCTACCAAAGTGAAAGGAAATAGGCAGCCTCACGGCTCTTTAATTTCAGCGTCAGGTGATCTTTGGAGGAAATCATGGGAGGCTTTCTGTGTCTTCCCCTCCACACAGGTCCGCTATCAACACCCTGCGCAACTCCATCACCAGCTGGCGTGACAAGAGAGGATCTTCGAGAATGAAAGGCAAGTGCTGGCACTGGACATGGTGACCCCTATGATGAAGAATGTGGACGTGGGCCACCCTGGGCTATTACCACGAGGATGCCACACTTTTGTGATCATCAGAAGGTGGTGGTCATGGGGATCATGATGAATTGGGGTGGGTAGGAGACATTACTTTTTAGATTAAAGCCCCCCAAATCCCTCAGCCAGCGTGCCCGGTGATTACGTTGGCTGTCAGCTTCTGGGAGCGGTCATCCAAAGTAATGTTTCCCGTCTCTGAAGCAGGGATATTTGAGCTGAGGACACCAGAATGGGGACAGAGGGGATTGGTTTCAATTTTTTGTATGCTACTGGTTAGAATCCTATGGGGATCCTAAGTATCCTTGTGTTACTCACAGTGGCCAGTCGATAAGTTTCCACTTGCATTTCTGGTTGGCTGCCACGTTGTGCGACTGGCATGTGACCAGGAATGAAAGCAGCAACATGCTGATTAGTGGCGATTTGTAATTCTGAGCACTGTTTGCATTTTTTCTAAATTTTGTCACCTTAAGGGTTCCTTCCCCCCCTCCCCAAAAGGCTAGAAAACAACTCTCAAGGAACATTAGAAATAAACAAATGAGGCACCAAGCTACGGAGGCTCTCTCCTCCCTCTCACAGTGAGGTTATCTCTCTTGGTCCATTTTGCAGGTCAGACAAGCCGCCAGCAGCGGAGGTCTGCTGTGCAGGATTCCAGCCTTTCTGATTCTGCCCTGCATCAGCGTCACAGAACCTCAGAGACCAGCTCATAGATTAAAAGAGGTGAACCTTCCCCTGCAAGAGGCCATGCCCTCTTCTCCTTCCCTCATTGCTCTCCCCGAGGGCTGGGCTCAACTACACTGGAGTATCCCCCACTTCCTATCAGGAAGTTTCTCCAAGCTGTACTGAAAACCACCCTGCTCCCTTCTCCCTCTGCCTGCCAGGCCCAAGGCAAACTGCCTGCACCTTCCCACTTCTCTTCTTAGGTATGGAACAAGAGTCAAGATCCTGGAGTGAAACTGGAACCTTCTTTGGACCGGAATTATTGATGGTGCAGACATTTATTAAAACAAACTGCTTGGAAGAAGCTTGTTCTAGGGCATCATTAATGTGGAACAACGCAAGCTGCCATGCATTCCCTGTTCCAGGACCCGTCTGTTTGCTCAACGGGAAAAGAACTTAACCCTTGCATATTGTCATCATTATCACTGTTTTACACCCCCCGTAAACCCTGGAAAAGCAGGATCTGAACTAAGTAATTCTTTTTCACTGGCTGTAGGGTACCCATGAGGGGGTTACTCTCACTTTGCTTTGGAAGTTCGGGCTTTGCAAGTAAGCTTCATGCCGAATCCTTTGCTGTAGAACTAGACCCAGGTTCTGCCAGCAATAAAGCAGAAGCACTACCCATAATATTTAGGGGACTGTTTCCCAAACTAGGTGTGTGGCCCCCCACCCCCACAGGGAGGGTGAGATTGTGAATTTTTTATAAAAAAAACCCCAAACAAGTATTTTTACCTGCTGAAGTGAATTTCTATGGTAGATACCACTACTAGAATTGAATTAATTTGTATGCTGCACTTTCTGTCCATGAAAGGGCTCTGTAAGGTGACTTACAGAGAGTTTAATACAGATGCAGCTAAAGGCACAATAAAGAACCAAATTTAAAGGAACAATTAAACATATAATAATACGTAAATAACATAACAATAAAGAGAAACAGTAAGCAGTACTGCCTTCCGCAATAAGTCTTGATTGGCCAATTTAATTGCTAAAAGCCTGTTTAAAAAGGAAGATCTTTGCCTGTCACTAGAAGGGCAACATGGAGGTAGCCAGCCTGGCCTCCTGAAGGAAGCTGTTTGACAACTTGGGAGCCGACACCAAAAAGACCTTCTCTCATATCGCCACCAAATATGCCTGTGAGGGTGGTCGAGAAGAGCAAGAGAAGGGCCTCCCCGGGAGATCTTAATCAACCAAGGAGGCTCATATAGGGTGACACGATCCCAAGCCATTTAAGGAGTCGTTGGTCACCCCCTACTACCTTCAGAGGCCTCTTTGATTGCAACTGGAGAAAGGGCCTTCTCCATGGACACTCCCAGACACTACAAGGACACCTTGGATCAATGTTGAGAGAGGCAGTGCTTGGAGGACACCAATCCAACAGGCCCATTCCCATCCTCCTTGCTTTATGAATCTCTGATGAGCGCCACAGTGCCAAGGCTGTGTATGTGTGTGTGTGTCAACCACAACATGCTTGGATGTGTGCTTGGGAGGTTGGATTGATCTCCCTCACTCAGCTAAGGCAACTCCTTTCTTTGGTGAGGGCAGAGCACTGTAACTTTGAATGGAATATTTTCCTGAATCTGACTAAAATCTCTTTGTCAACAGACCCCTCTTGAAATCTGGAATGGCTCATCCTTCTTCTTTTTTCCAGTGCCTTCAGTTTTGGTGAATATGTTTGGAGGTGCTGCTCCTTCAGCTCTGCCATTTCCTTCCAGGTTCCCAGGGAAGAGCAATGTAGACAAGGATGTTTTGCTGCCCCTGGAGACAGAAGCTTTCCTACCCCGAGCAACAAGGCTATGGAGCGGCTTTGAATCGGAGCTCTTCGTTGGGTTAAAGCTTTGCGATCCGCTCAGTAGACTCCTGGCCTTCTGGGTCCCCCACAATATCCAAACAAACCCTTTGTTGATTTATTTGCCCCAACATAGGGGAGCCCTAGGATGGAATCTACCGCTTCTAAATATCCTTGAAACATATTTTTAACCTTTAACAAATTATTTCTGCTTCAAAGAGGGATTTTCTGCTCTACTTAAATCCTAGTTGGATTCTTCTTCTCGGTCATTTTTTTTCACACTTCCACCCTCCCCTCAATTTCATTTCCAGATTTAGCACTCATGAGGGCTGTTCTGTTCTGCATCGTTCTTTTGACACCACATCCTAACTCGCAGTGGTGTTTGCATCAAAAGCCAAGTTGCTTCCAAAAAAAAAAAAAAGGCTGGAAATGCTGACAGAAAGAGCTTGGTGATTCATCCCCTGATTCTGCACAGATGCTGCTTAGGGATTTCACATTTTATTTGTTTATTATAACAGGATGTAATGTGCATTTTCTGAATTGTTATTAATAAACTGCCCCCCTCCCTTTTAAGACTAGCATTCCGTTGTTACGTTTTCCCAGTAATCAGACTATTCAGGTGCTGGAACAGTTTGCGCAGTTTGTTTGAAATTGCTCCTTGTACATTCAATAAACTGTATGATTCTGCAAGAGTCTTAGGGGCCTGTTAAATACGGTGAAGTGATCAGTGACAAATATGTATACACGCATAGAAGCAGACATTTCTGTAAAACTTTTGAGGTGTTCTTAAGGCTTATCTAGACAGAACCTTTGTTCTAACAGAAATACTCAGTTTTGTATTGATTTTATCTCTATTTTTCTAACCATCCCCACAACAGAATGAACTATCAACAAGGCTTTTCTTAGGAGTGCTTTGGACTAAGGATAGAATACAGGCAGCAAGAATCTCCTAGACAGGAGTTTTCTATCAGAGCTAAATCACCATTCCCACCTCAAAAAATCTGACAAAGGAGCTCATTTGTTAAACATTACTGCAAGACATTTTAAAAGAAATTTTAAAAGACTGCTGGTTTGCAGTAGATGTCAATGGCTGAGGCTTCTAGACGTAGCTTTCAATTAACGTTTATGCCACCACTTAAAAGCAAACAGAAAACAAAGCAGATAAGCTGATTTTAAAAGATTTCGTCAAGATTTTTGAAACAGATCCTAACAAAGATTTCATAAAGAAAACAGAAGGGAGATTATAAAAATGTGGCTGCAAACACTGATAAACAGTGTGCTTATTCAACATCAAGTGGCAGAAGGAGGGTGGAACAAACGCTCATCGATAGGAAAACATTTTAATTGCAGGCACTGTGCTTTTACTCATTAAACAATGCCCAAAAGCTCTAATGGAAAACTTCCATCCAGGAGGCTCTTGCCCCTGAACTCGTTCCATGGTCCAATGGAATCCTAAGGAAAGCCTGTTTTAAGAAGATTGAAAAATCATAGAAGAAATGTTGTGAAGATGGTGAGAAAAATACAGATTAAAATCAATGCAGAATCCAGTATTCTGCTTAGAACAGTTAGAATAGGCCCATTTGAATCAATGGAACCTAAGGAGAAGGTCACTCACCAAATCACCATTGATTCAGTGCCTATTCTAGTGCAATTTACTACACTAAGCAACAGGATTTTTGCCGTTATGCAGAGTAAAACAACTGGAGACAAGCAAGGCTTCAGGCATTCCTGATCCTTTATCAATTTTCTGTGTGTGCTGTGCAATTGAGTCAGAACCGACTTATAGAGCTTTCAAGGTAAGTGAGATATTTAAGGGGGGGCTTTACCAGTTCCACTCTACCAATGAGTTTCCATGGCTAAGCAGGGGTTCAAATCCTGTTCTCCAGAGTCCTAGTCTGTCACACTGTTCCCCGTACCACACTGGGAATTCATTTTATTGATTAGATATATTTATATCCTATCTGTAACAAATACCAGGCAGCAGACATGTGTTCTCCTCCTCCTCTTTGCTTTTCTTTGAAATAACCACCCTGTAAAATATGTTAGGCTGAGGTCACCCACTGAACTTTATGGGGATTTAAACCAAGACTCCAAGGTTCCAGCCGAACATTTTAACCACTACACTGCACTGCACTGGCATGTGGTCTTCAACACACTAGTGACATTCCTGACAACCTTCTGTTTAATTTTTCAGTCTAATCTTTGTGTTCTCAGACCAGTTGTTGTCAATCTGCCATTTATCTTTGGAAGCCTAATCTTTCTTAGGCTTAATCACTCTCAAAATATAGTTGAGTGTTTTATCTCCTATTTCTTCTCTGCTCACCTGTTTTTCTTTGATTATTGTTCTTCACATTCTCATAATTCTTCCCACACACAAAGTCGTCTAAAATTGGGGCGGGGGTGGGTTCTCTTAGAATGGCCTCCAAATAATGTTTGATCCCAGGAAAAGAATGAGAAAAAGTAAAAGTCATTCACTATGCACACAAATGATGCTACATTACTAGTTTTGTGTTGTTTTTGTTTTGCTTTGCTTGGACATTCATTGTTCTGCAAAGTAATGCATTAACATGTGGTGCTATTCTCACCCATTCCTTCCAGGCTCAGAGCAATAAGGTATGACAGAATCTAGGCTAAACCAAAGTATTACTACAGTAGATGTGTTGTGACACCGTGACCAATTTGCCAGCACACTTCCTCATACATGCTAGTAGAAAATGCTACTGGTGCATCTCATAGTGTAATGGAGATGCGCCAGCGAAGCAATCAGAAAAGACAAGCAGCAGTGAGCAAAGAGGCACATCTTTATACAGATGCACCTTTAGCTGCATCTGTATTAAACTCTCTGAGTTGCACTCCAACCACATCTGCAGGGCCTTATCATCCCACGATTATCCTTTTATGATAGGACTTGAGCCAGACCAACAGGGCCTTATCATCCCACGATTACCCTTTTATGATAGGACTTGAGCCAGACCAAGGACCAGGCTGCAAAGTGGATTGTCAAGGAGCTTGAGAAGACTACTGATGCTGCTCAGAGCCAATGGCTCCTTGGACTGTGCTAAAACAGGGCTCCCAGGATGCATGAGTGGGGATTTTTGCTGCTGCTGGCAATGGTGCTATGGCATTAATGCTGGAGGCATTGGGATGCACGTAAGCCCCATTTCACCCAAAAGTAAGTCAGACCTTTGTGTACTGAGTTCAAACATCTGCAGTGGGGCCCTGTGAGGAGGTCCAGCTGAAGGTGCTGTCAAGGCGTCTGTAATCTGGAACTCTGCCTTACTGTGAGTGTTCCTCACTGGCTCAGGTGTAGACCTTCCTCCCACCTCCAGGTCAATGAATCTGAGCAAAGGAGCCCAGATGGTTTTTCTTTACTACAACCTGAGAGCTGCTTGATGTGAAATGTGAGTTGCTCCATCAAGCTAAATGTTGTTGTCCTCTGCATAAATGACTGGGTCATGAGCAGAACTTGCAAAAATTCCTTTTTGGATGACAGCTCCTGAAATCTTACTCACACGGCTGCTGGCACTGGTCTCCATAAGGCACATGGGTGTCACTCCTAGCACAGTGGCTGCCTGCCTGTTACTTTTCAAGTGTGGATTGTTCCCTTCAATGCCCTTGGGCTGAATGCCGGTATAATTCTTCATCCTCTTTTGTGCTGGCACAGGTGCAATGTATTTCCCCTTCCAGCAGAATGGAGGCACTGCAGTGAGAGGTGCACAACTGGGATATAGAACTAGCCAGTCTTTAAAATAGGTTGGTTCAAAATTGGGAAAGGAGTACGACAAGGCTGTACATTGTCTCCCTGTTTATTTAACTTATATGCAGAATACATCATGTGAAAGGCCGGACTGGAGGAATCCCAAGCCGGAATTAAGATTGTCGGAAGAAATATCAACAACCTCAGATATGTGGATGATACCATTCGGATGGCAGAAAGTTAGGAGGAATTAAGGAACCTCTTAATGAGGGTGAAAGAGGAGAGTGCAAAAAATGGCCTGAAGCTCAACATCAAAGAAACTAAGATCATGGCCACTGGCCCCATCACCTCCTGGCAAATAGAAGGGGAAGATATGGAGGCAGTGAGAGATTTTACTTTCGTGGGCTCCATGATCACTGCAGATGGTGGCAGCAGTCATGAAATTAAAAGACGCCTGCTTCTTGGGAGGAAAGCGATGACAAACCTTGACAGCATCTTAAAAAGCAGAGACATCACCTTGCCGACAAAAGTCCGCATAGTCAAAGCTATGGTTTTTCCTGTTGTGATGTATGGAAGTGAGAGCTGGACCATAAAGAAAGCTGACCGCCGAAGAATTGATGCTTTTGAATTGTGGTGCTGGAGGAGGCTCTTGAGAGTCCCCTGGACTGCAAAGAGAACAAATCTATTCATTCTAAAGGAAATCAACCCTGAGTGCTCACTTGAAGGACAGATTCTGAAGCTGAGGCTCCAGCACTTTGGCCATCTCATGAGAAGAGAAGACTCCCTGGAAAAGACCCTGATGTTGGGAAAGTGTGAAGGCAAGGGGAGAAAGGGACGACAGAGGACAAGATGGTTGGACAGTGTCATCAAAGCTACCAACATGAATTTGACCAAACTCCGGGAGGCAGTGGAGGACAGGAGGGCCTGGCGTGCTCTGTCCATGGGGTCATGAATAGTCCGACATGACTAAATGACTAAACAAAAACAACAGTCTTTAAAATGTGAGACATATTTTTGTGATCAACTAATTTTTATTGTCCTAATATGACTACCAGTAGTCCTTCACTTACCTTGAGCATGTTCGTGTGTGCAAACATCCACACATGCATAGAAAGAAATACATATATGCTTTTCCATCTTGGCCAGCTCTTGTGTTACAGACAATGTGTTACAGCAAGGGTGTTGTACTAGACGGTCCCTGGTGGAACAGATCCACAGAGAGAAAAACATGCAGTGAAGATAACAAACAGGTCTCAGGGTTAAACCTGAACTTCTAGTATTTTAACTTCTTTTGCAGGATCTCCAAGGAAAATATCAAAGTGAGGGGGGTGGGTCAGGATTACAGAAGCGGGCTGTTTTGTGCCCAGCCCTGCCCTTGTCATATGCGCCACTCTAGAGAGTATTGATTTTTTTTCTTGTTTTAGGTCATGAATGGTTGTTATACAGAAAAACCAACTGCCAGGAAGACTGCAAACATCCACATTTGAATCACCTTTAAACATCTGATCTTGCATATGAAAAATGTGGTCCTTTATAATATACATTTGATTCACAAAGAGTGCAAGAATGTCATCTGATAGTTGAATTGCATTCTCAGTGTGCAGTCATTAAACCTTGGTGTTTTTCTTCGGTTTGAAAAATCCGCTACCTTGAAATGTGTCAATTCATCGCTTGATCTTGACTAATCGTCTCTACCATGCCTGGTTAGCTGGTGCCTTAGTTTTACTGTCTGTAAAATAGGAGGGAGCACAGGAGTGGGAGATGGACGCTTGGACTGAAACAGGAGGCAACATATGTGTGCAGAGCTCCAGTGAGCTGCTGTTCAGCTACAGAGGAGGGAGGCTGCAAGACTCTCTTGCAGGTGGGTCTGTGGGTTTCCGTGGAGCATTCTGGATTATGTGTCTCTCACCCTTCTGACCCATAAGGGACGCAGTGAGCATCCCAATGAATGTTTCCCTTTGAAAAATCCCCTTTCCCCTCTCCCTCTCCCTCTCCCCCCTTTTCTGTATGTGTGTGTGTGTGTGTGAGCGTGCGCATGCATGCATGCATGTGTATATGTGCCTCGCTCCCTCTCTCCTCTTTCTCTTTCTCCCTTTCCCTCTCCTTCCCTGGAAAGGCTCCAGCTACTAATGTGAAAGAACATTTAATCCAGCGGTCCGGCTTTTAATTGGGATATTGCCATGATCAGCATGGATTCCCCGCGACGTCCTGCAGACCGTTAAAACTGGTTAGACAGAAGTGGAGGAGGAGAAGAGGACTGTTGTGGGCCGAGGAAGCCATGGCTGCTGCCTAAAAAGACACACACACACGGACGCACACTTGCACACAGAAGGTGAGAGATGCAGTGGCAGAACTGTGGGGCAGATGTTCCTGGTGGGGGGGTGGGGTGGGATTCGGGGTGGGGAGTTGCTGAGTCTCACTTCCATCATGTGTTGAATGGTTTTCCATTTCAGCTCATCTGTCACTTCTTGCTGCCATTCACATAGGCATTGTTAGAGCTTTGACAATTGCTGCGCTGTGTGTGACTGTGTATGTTTGTGAATGTCGGCTTTAACGGCCCATGTTGCTAAGTTACGTGCTTAGGGTAGCGGGTATGTGTGTATACAGAGAGACAGACAGACAGACGCGCACACACGTATTTGGTGCTGATTCCTATTGGCGATTAAATGGTTCCGGATCTCCTTCGTTATGAAGACATACTTTATTGCATCCTTTCTTAAAACTGGCTTGTGGGGCTAGTGAGCCAGTCTGAGCCATGGGGCCCTTGGGCTACAAGAGGGGGGGGGAGGCATCAGGAGCATCTTGTAGCTCAGTTCACATAGTGCTAGCAAGGCTGGGCAGGTGGGTCTGCATTGACATCGGTGGGAGTTGACATGGCTCCTCTGTGTCGTGAGGGGCCATCTGCTCCAGTTTGGGCCAGATGAAGTGCCAAGGGAAGGGAAGGGAAGCAGGTAAAGCCACAGACCTTTCTGTGCCGTTTTCAGGGTGGGGGTGGGGAGAGCTGGAGGAAGACACTCTGGATCCTGGATGCCATTGTTGTGACTGGCAGTTGGGATTAACACCATCTGGAGCAAAACAGTTCAGAGGCGTGCGCGCGCGTGTCTCCCTGTGTGAACACTAATGGGTGACTCTCTGTGTTTACAACAGAAACATTACTCTTCTGCGAAATCTCTTCCAAATCCATATCTCTCAGCTCAAAAAACAAACAAACAACTTTGCTTATCTGCTCAGAACGAATGATAGAAATCAGTAGAATATGTCAGCATGTGCTTATATTGTATAAAGTTACGTTTACCTTCTTTAGCCTGAAGAGAATATTTTCAGGTTTAGATTCTTTTGCAAGAAAGAAAGAAATACTGTTGAGCTGAGGGAAGGAGTAAGAAAGAAGCAGTAAAGGGATAAGGGTGCGTCCCACTGGTCACATATACTCATTGTTTACTGGGGAGAGGGGAATACTGTATAGCTCTTCCCAGTCTATAAGTTCAACAGCTAGTGCAAACTACTGTATACATTTTTATTACATGTGTGTACACACATACACACACAAACACACACACAGAGAGATATTAAAATGCAATGACTAAAATAATAATTGTAAATTAAGATTAGCATAAATAAAACAGTATTAAATAACTGATTTTAATATATATTATTTCTACTCTTGGATTGCCCTATGAGCCTCGAATACGACTTCCAGGAATCTGTTCTCTTAATTAGTTTTCTAATTAAGGTAAGACAAAAATAATGACTACAGAAGAGTTCCATAACCTAGGTGAGGATAATGAAGAAACTGAAATTGTTGAAGATTTTCTATGCCTTCATAATTTAAAAAGGTCCTTAAGAGTATGGATGTGTTGCTGGAGAATAAGATCATTCAGACTAAGGTATCCCCGGTTACTATATAAAGATGTGAATGCTGGATAATGAATAAAGCGGGGGGGGGAATCAACTCATTTGAAATGTAGTATTGGAGAAAGTTTGGACCCCCCCGCAAGCACATTGTTTTGGGATCAAATCAAGCCTGAACTCTTATTAGATGCTAAAATGATTGAACAGAGGCTATTCTACACTGGGCATTTTATAAGAAGGCAAGACTCACTGTAAACAACAGCAATGTCAGGAAAAGTGGATGATAGTAGTAAAGGAGGAAGACCTAACATGAGGTGGATTGATTCAAAAAAGGAAGCCCCAGCCCATTAGTTTCCAGGATCTGATCAGGGTTGTTAATGGGAAATTTTGGAAGTCATTGATTTATAGGGTTGCTATAAGTCAGAAGCAACTGGATGACACACAACACCCGTAATTAGTTTTCTAGCATAATTTGTTCAAAGGTTCCACAACATTTTACTGAGTCTGAAACTTGCATTAATGCTTATCTTTAAAAAGTTTTTGAAGATGCCATGTGAACTATGGAGTAGGCTCCTTAGCATGTTTATAACAGCAGTAAGGTTCATTAAAGCGGCTATAGCTCAGTGCGTTGGAGCCTGACCTGATTTGATCTAGAGCCCAGACCCGGCTCAAATATCCACAGTGGGTCACAAGAAAAGGGCCAGCTGTGGCTATCTAGAGAACATGTGGCTGATCGTATTTAATTGCCCTGCCCTCGTGCACCCTTGGGTAAGCTGTGGAGTCCCAGAGCACTCGCAGAAGAAGGACAGAAAGCAGCTTCAGATTTCTTTATACCTAGAAAACCCTGGGAGGGCACTGTAAGTCTGAAACAATGTGAGGGCACATAATTAACTTATTAAGGCTCACCAAGTTTGATGGTAAACAGGCGCCAAGACAACAGTCAAAATAAAGTTGCCAGAGGTCAGGAAAGGACTGGTATGAAACAGACCACATACCACATATCTGTCCTTATTTGAGTCGGTCAATCACTATACTGTGGGGGAGGGGAGTTTCATTGCCCTCTGGCACTGTGTGCTTGTCTCATAAGCCCTGAGCACACTTCTGTAGACACTACATAAACACTTTCAAATGTGCAGTCATGGCTGTGGGGGTTAGAAAAGCACTCCTTACATAGTAAGCCTGGGTTTTCTCAAAAGTCAAATTTGTGTTCAAGATATGAGACAGTAGAGACCTGTGCA